GATTGATTGATTGATTGATTGATTGATTGATTGATTGATTGATTGATTGATTGATTGATTGATTGATTGATTGATTGATTGATTGATTGATTGATTGATTGATTGATTGATTGATTGATTTGATTTGATTTGATTTGATTTGATTTGATTGATTGATAACAGCAATCAAAGCAAATATGTCCAAGGGGGTGGATATTTTTTATACATGTATTTATCACAGTTTAGATTTAGAGTTCAGAATAATATATTGTGGTAAAGATTTGTTTGTCCCTTCTGAAGCCTACATGAAATCAAGGAAAACTGCAATTTGCCATTTGAAATGTGAAGCGTTCAGTTAGATAAACATACATGTTGTCAGTACTACCACAGAGAAAAATAAAAAAATGTGTGATAACATTCTTGCACGAGTTGTTAAAAAAATTCTTTCCTTGAAGGTAACTTGTCTAGATCAAGTGCATCTAACCTTTAAAGAGCATTTGCTAACCATTAGTGCTATTAAATATTATGAGTTGTGTGTGTGATGAGAATTTTAAAGTGTGTGTGTGTGTGTGTGGGGGGGGGGGGGTATGAGTGTGTGTGGTTCAAGTTCCACCATTTTTGTTCTGAGGCAGATGCTGAGTCTGTGTTCATCCAGGTGTAAAGCCCACACTGATTGAATAGTCACATACTTTAGAGTACTTAACATGCAAGGACATGCAATATCAAGGACTTCATACATACACTGTGTACATTCACTTCATATGCTGCTTTGCCACTCACTACAAATATCAATGTCAGGACCTTCATTTCATTTTATTTTATAGATATACTTTTTTAAATATTTTTATACCATATAGTACAATTTAAGACAGTATCATGCTTTTATTATTTCATTTTATGCTTATGTTTAATAAATGTTTTAATGTTAAATGGTTATTGTTGCACCATGTTTAATAAATGTTTTAATGTTAAATGGTTATTGTTGCACCGGGGTCTGAGAGTAATGTCATTTCAATCCTGTGTATGTCCTGTACATATTGCAGCTTTTGACAATAAAGTGACTTTGACTTTGACTGATGCACATGCAGACGAACCTTCACAGAGAGCCATTATTCAAATAAAATCTTCACAATCCCTTCTTTAATATCCATTTTCTCAGACTTCCTTCTGTCTTTTCTCTTTTCTGCAGTCAAATATGTCCACGACCAGGAGCTCAGGAGACATCGCTGTGGACCTCACAGAAATCAACGCCCAGCGAATCAATAAACTCTCCAATATCTCCAGCAAAGATCCGCTAATAATGGCCAGTAATGGAAGCCTTATCTCGACAGGTAATCTGAGTTAATCATATAACTTCTGCTGTTGCACATCAGATGGACGAGTGATGAACCGTGGTGATAATTTGTAGTTAATCTGGTGTGTGTGCTCATCCCAGGTTCTGCTGATTCTGAAGTAATTGAGGAACAGAGGAAAGAAAAGATCGCTGAATTAAAACAGAAGGAGAAGGACCTTCAGAACAAACTGGACCAGAAACTGGTAGAGCTAAAGAAGATTTGCATAAGGGAAGCTGTGAGTAGCCCTGACTTTTGTTTAGTTTCCAGATTTGTCCAGCTCTCTGTGGTTTCCAAACTGATGGCAGGTTGTTCTTTTTTATTTGCAGGAGCTGACAGGTAAACTGCCTAAAGAGTATCCCCTGGCTGCAGGGGAGAAAACTCCTCATATCCGACGCCGTGTTGGGACCGCCTTCAAGCTGGAGGATCTGTCTTGTGAAGAGGTTGGTATAGATTGTGTTTGGTTATTTATGTTGTTCTTTATTTCTGTTTTGTCGTGTATGGTAATATCATCACACTCTTATTGCACCACTGTGTTTGTTAAGACCAGTTTGAATTTTTGAAATAGGGATTAAGAGTTTAATGTGTGGATTCATATTTCATAATGCTTTAAAGAAACAAAGAACTGTTCCAAATTTTAGCTTGTTACCCCCTGCAGCTCAGCTAATATTCTGAATGTGAATACTTTTAGGAATATGAGTTTGAAATCTAACTAGAGAAATTGCATTTCCTGCGAAAATGCAGTGTGAATGCTTTTTGCAGAAGACCCTACTAAAAAACAGCTGAAATTAGCTAAAAACATACTTTAATGTAGCGTAAATGGAAGAACAAGCCGAAGTTAGGAGAAGAAAGCAGAAAGTACACATATTTGTTGAATTATGTTTAAATAAACAGAAATGAGCACATACATTAGGAAATAAGCTAAAAAAAAAAAGGCTGAAAAGTAGCTGAAAAGGCAGAAAGAAGCTTAAACTACCAGAAGGAAGTGGGAGGAGCTGAAATGAGCCCAAACACGTGGAATTAGCTGAAAAAGCTGAAACTAGCAGAAATAAGCTGAAGGGAGCATAACAAGCTGAAATTAGCTGAAATAATTTTATTAGATTTAAAGTAGCAGAAATTATCCTGAAAAACCTGAATTTATGTGAAAACAGCTGAAATTAACTAAAAAAAAGTAGCTGAAAAGGTAGAGCAAGGTTAAAATAGCAGAAGAAAGCAGAAAAAAAACATGTTTGCTATTAGACTGAAAGAAGCAGAAATGAGCACAAAGAAGTGGATATTATCTGAAAAAAGCTTAAATTAGCAACAACAACAAAAACAGCTGAAAAGTAGCTAAAAAGCAGAAAGAAGCTTAAATTACCAGAAGGAAGTGGAGAGAGAGCACATTTTTCCTGAATTAGGCTGAAAAAAAGTTGAAATTAGTGAACAAATTTGGAATTAGCTGACATTGCTAAAATTAGTATAAAAACAGCTAAATACTAGCTGAAATAGCAGAAAATGCTGAAACGTGCATAAATTCAGGTCTCTCTTGTAAATGAGTCCTCGAGGCTCAATGGGATTTACCTGTCTAAATAAAGGTTAAAATAATAAGCTGAAAGGAGCAGAAAGAAGTTAGAAGAAACACAAAAATGTTGTAGTTAGCTGAAAGAATCTAAAAGGAGCACAAAACAGTTGAAATTAGCTGAAAAAAGTTTGACTTTGTACAAGGAAGCTGAAAGAAGCTGAAGCAGAAGAAAATGTGAAAGGAGCAGAAAAAGGTTGTAAACAGATCTAAAGATTTGAAGGATGTAAAATGAGATCAATTATTTTTTATAAGAAAAAAAATGGCAGAAAAGGCTAAATATTTCAAAAAGCTAAAATTCCACCAATGCCAAAAGTCATAACACCCTTCTCCTGAAAGAGCTGAACGTTTTGATATAGGATTTGTTAAAAATGCACAAAAATTGTGGAACGAGAAAGATGCTGAAAAACATAGTAAAGAAAAATGGATCACAGTAGAGTGAACGCTTCATAAACATTCACACAGTAAAGTATGATGTTGGGATCTAATCCTTGTTGCTTCTGTTACCTGGGGCTGGGATATTTGAACTCTGTGTCTCAGCTCAGAGGAGTGCTGTAAGAAGAGCTGCGTGTGTGTTTTTGGAAACTCCCCACTAACTGTGTGGGTGTTGTGTGTTTCCCAAAAGGACCCACATCTTAAAAATCTGGAGGGCAGGTTTGCCTTGCAGCTGAAGATTGTAGAAGCAGCCTTGAAGCTAGTCAGTGAAGCTGACCTCAAAAGAACGGTGAAGAAGAAGAGGAAAAGCAACTACCTGGATGCTCTGGGGCAACTGGAGCAGATCAAGAAAGAGATAAATGAGTATAGAATGTCCAAAGGAAGAAAACCCTCTCCGAGAGCTTCACTCCTCTTCACAGGTAGAACATGTACAGTGAACACTGCTGGCATATCATAGCTTGTTGAGTTTGTTGTCATTCAGAATGTTTTGTGTGTCAATTCTTAGAAAATGTTTTTTTTCCATCTCAAGACGACGCCCACGCCTCAGACCTCAGCTCTCTCTCTGACAGCCTCACCCTGGATGATGGTAAGTGTTCTCCATGTGCACGTGTTTACCCTCAGTCCCTAATCAACCGTTGATCACTTTGACCCAGTTTGTTTTTGTCTCCCAGACGATGAACTTGGTTCTCAGAGGCAACGGTCTCGATCTGTCCAGTATTCCCCAAGACCACACCACGCAGACACTCTGGACATTTATTACAACAATGACAGACGAGCCTCTACCCATGACCAGCTTTCAGACACGAGGTACGGACTGATATTCCTAATTCCCAGTGTCTCTGCGTCTAATGAGGAGGCCCGGAGCAGCAGCAGCACCTACAGTACACTTGGTGCTTCAGACACAGCCTTGAGTTACTGGCCAGGGATGCTCTGGTGTAACCCTGATAATTTATTTTTTTAAAATAAGCTAGACAGACAAATATTTACAAGCACAAAGGTTATGAAAACAGCTGAATGATCAAAGTAAACTATAATCTGTTCCATCAGATAAAGATGAAATATGCAAGTGAAAAACACAGCTGTTGTGCATTCTGTGAAGATACCTTCACTCTTGTTGCATTGTTAGCCTGAGGCGTGGAGCTAGTACAGACCTGCAGAACAGATCCAGAGCTACATTCCTGACAGACCCCTCCTCCAGCTGCTGCGTCTACAACAATCTCTGCCTTATCAGTTAAACTCACTGACTTCAAAATAGACAGAAAAAAAAACATGTTGCTGCCTGTGAAGGAGTAGGCAACAGGGCCATGTCGAGACAAGAAGAGAGGGGAGGAACGTTAATGTAGTGAGAACAGTAGCTGCTGCCTGGATGTTTATACTACAGTGCAGGTGGTGTGTTACTAGGGACAGCTGTGGATGAGTGGTTAGAGCAGTCCTCCAGTGGGAGAGTTGGGGGTTCGACTCTACCAGCAGTCACATGTCACACTGAACCCCTCATTGCCTCCAATGTGTGTCCCATCGGTGTATGAATGTGATCTAAAACACTGATTAGTCTACACATTAGTAGAGTGCTGTATGAATGGGTAAATGAGGGCACATGTTGTGTTGTAAAGAGCTTTGAGTGTCTTTATAAGATAGAAAGGAGCTATATAAATACAGTCCATTTACTCTCTGCTGCAAAGATAAGACGCTATTATAACACATTGTTACATGAAAATAAAACCATTTCATTATTTAATGATAATAACTTGTAAAAGAATAGACTTTTGCTCCATTTATCAAGTAACGCCTGTTTTCTTGTCATTCATTTTCTTTTAGTTGAGGGTAGCTGAGTCAGTGGAAAAGACTGCAGACTAAAGAGGTGAATGTTCTTATCTGCATTTCAGATTCATTTCTGACCAAGTCAAGGAGTCGCTCCACTACAGTTACACTGATGCCTTATCAGGCTACAGCAGTCCGCACAAACCAGCTTCCAGACAGCCGCGTGACGCCCGCAGCATGCCCGCTACTCCCCTCCTCACCCGCAATGCCTACAGCAGCACACAGCTCAAGTAAGACGTCGGAGATTAAATTATATTACTTTTAAATTCCTGTTTCATAAACAGCTCTTGTACCAAGTCGACACAGATTAATTTTGATTTCACTTGCAGATCAGAGGACGCTACACAACACTTCCGGCAGCGGAGCGGGAGCCTGGAGTCCCAGTCTCAACTCATGACGGAAACCAAACCGCCCGTACCGACGTTTGTCGTGTCCCCCGCCCGGCGCAGCAACAGCACTGATGTCCTCGATGACGGCTCCTCCTACACAAGCCAGTCCAGCGTGGAGTACAGCGCTCCTGGAAACCACACCCACAGGCACCGAGCTCGTGGCCGCCACAGAAGAGACATGTACGCCAACACTGGAAGCATGCCCAACCTGGCCCAGCCGGACACTCGTTGCTACGCCTACCAGCCTCAGGCGCGGCCCACCACCACGGCCTATTACATCACAGGCTATCCCAACTACGTCGAGCCGGAGCCTCACGCCAACAGAGTCTATATGTATGAAAACGAGATGGAGGGACACTATAATGTCAACCCTCCTCACAACCACACACAAGCAGCTTACCACAGCCATGATGTGCACGGGCAGTACTGTTCGGACGAGATGGACGGTGTTTCATATAACCTTTATGCCACGCTGCGACCTCCTAGAAACCATCCGGTACCTCGGAACAACGAGCAGGTCAGCAAGAATTTCCAGAGAGCACTGGCAAATAAACACTTGTTAGACTGGTACGAACGGAACACGACACAGAGACAGTATGACTACACGTATGACAGGGGATCCCAGCAGAACCTGAGCTGTCACACCATGTCTGGATATTATCCCCAAAGCACCAGGTCCATTTCCTACACAGCAGGTTAGATCACTGGATCACCTTTCTCTGTCTGATGGTACGTTCTTCATATGTTTGGTCAAATGGTAATCTGTCCCGTTTGTCTCCAGGATCAATGGCTCCTTCCAGCAGAACCTGGCATTCTGCCACCAGTGGTCGTGGCATGTCGGATTATGGCATGTCCGTGCACGAACCTCACTCCTATTCCTACACTGCGGTCCCCTACAGCCACTCCGCCCACAGCAGGTGAGGGGAAAAAACATGGCCTCAGCTTTTCTTCTGATCCAATAAGCCAATCGCTGATCCTCTGTATCCCCAAAGCTAAGTGTTAGTAATTAATTACCAAGGATCGATGGCTGAAAAAATGTCAAATGCTATTTGGCTTTGTAATCCTTAACAAACAATACTGTACACTTATTTGTAACATACTGTGTAACTGTGTTTCTTTCTTTTACAACTCGAGTTGTAAAACTTAACCCATGAGCGATCAGCTCTTACTTGGTCAGCCTGGTTCAGCAGCAGGATTATAGGATCTGTTCAGGTCTTCCTCAGAGTTTAAGAGTACTTCTGCGCTCATTGACTGTCCACCGGGCCCCTCTCTTATAGATGCGGCACTTCCCAGCTTTTAAAAGGCTCCTGGCACAGCCCTGACGGCCAGAGACGCTGTACTCTTTTCTCTGCTAGCTCTTCCTCGTCCGGTTCTTCTTCCACTTCCTCCCTGCCCTCTTCCTCATATTCCCCGGGCTGTGGAGTCAGGCAGGTGGCCTCCAGCCTTGCTGCACACGCACAGTTCTCCAGAGGGCACAGGCTCAGTAAGGTGCCTGCTGCCAGAGGTAGCTCATAGTAAGTAAAGAACCATAGCCTGAGCCCGTGCGCTTGCCTCTTGTCATCGTGTCCGCAGCATAATCTTACTGTTTTTTTGCCTGTTGGTGTTTTGGAGTGAACTTGGCATATTTTTGAGCTGTTTAATCCTTCATCATCTTTTATGAGAAAATAACTGCATGGCTTGTTTTAAAGATATGCCTGAGCTGCTCCCTCTGTCAGGTGGCATATTTTCATTCAGTGGTCACATTTCAAACCGGTTTTGTTTGCTTTTGCATTTTATCATCCTCTTAGCACATACAGGGCCTGGCCACATGTCGCAATTCAACCAGGACCTTTGACCCCACCCACACACACACACACACACACACTAACTTTATACACACATGCCTCACAGACATTTAGTGGCATAGCTGCAATGGGATGTTGTTGTCTCTGCCAGTAACCAGAAAATTATCCACCTTTTTCCAAATAATCTAGCACAAAGAGTGAGAGACAAAAGTAAAACTAGGTCAGGTGGTTACCATAGTGATGGCGACAAGTTTGTGTGTTTTTGATTGTAAATAGACTGCATTTATAGCCCCCTTTACTAGTCTTACTCCTTAAAGGGCTTTACGCTACAGACACTTTGGTGGAGAGAACAGGGATCAAACAGACAAACTGGTAATTGGCTGATGATTCCTCCTGAGCCACAACTGTCCCATGTTCATGCAGCGAAGACAAACAGAAACACAAACTTGTTCTTGTGATCTTCAAGTTATTTATAAGGTGTTTTGTGTGAGAGCTGCTGTGTTGCAAAGGGAAAATGTGACCTCTGAACATTGTGCATTTTCATTATTTAGAGCGGTGCATGTGTGGAATATCAGTCTGCATTTTTTATTTGTTCATAAGTGACGACGTTTGGTCCTGCAGTTGACACTTGTTTTAATATTAGCATGTATGAAACACAGGTGTTAACATGCACAGGGTTTTATTTTTACATTTCCTGCTACCATCATGTGGGCTAACGTTCTTCCATCTTGTTTGTTCCAGATCCTATGTAGATATAAACCACGTGGACTCCCACATCAGCAGCCAAATGTGCAGCAGTGGAGATCCAGATGACGAGCACATTTACTGGCACGAAGGCTCCAAACCAGGAACAATAGTTTAGCTGCCTGCTGTGGGAGTTTTCACTCCCGACAAGCCTCCATTGTGCCTTGGACTGCACTTACCTGTTTTTGTATAAAGAAGATTCAAAGAATGAAGGAACTGTTTTTTGGAATCCAGCCTGTAAACAAATGAAGTGCTCTCATTTTCAGTTCTTTCGGCTGCAGTTTCCAAAGGCTTGAAGTGTTTGTGGAGGAGGTACCACCTGTGCACTGAAGCTGGGCTCTGTTGGACTGTGGCCCAGCCAGAGGGAACTCTAACTGAACTTTGACAGTGTTGGACTGCAGAGTAACTTTACCAACCGAGGACTGAGAGGGTCTCTGAGCGTCGACGAACAACAGACATGACTGATGCTGTTCTGTTTTATGAACACTGCAACCATGAAGGATTGATGAGAACGATATAAATGAAGGATTGAACTCAGCAACGTTATTAAAAAAGGCTTTTCTTTGAACAATGGGCAGTAACTACATCCAGTTTTTCACTTGTTGCTTTTCCTTTACTAAGTATTCAGTTTGTCACTACGTTCAGAAAAATCGAGCCAAATACTTATTTGTTGCACCAAGTATTACAAGTCACCAGTCTGATTTTACTGCCACTAATGGTTTTGATTGCTTTTTTTAAATGTGGTTATTTGATCCATGCTGGAAATCATGGGCTGGTGCTCGTCTTTTCTCTTTAGAGAACCAAGACGTAAGTGTTGCTGTTGTAAATACACTGGTTCAGTTCTCCTTTTTTTAGAGCATTTTTATGTAAAACAAACAAACATTGTAATATATAGTGATCTATAATTGTTAAGCTGGTTCTTAGTCATTTGTATAATTGCATTTGTTTGGATTAAAAAACATTTGAATCAGTTATTTGGTGAAACGCCTTGTTTTTCTGGCCATCGTTTACAAACGAGACATTAGTTACATAACTTAAAGTCTCATTTAATCAGATCAGACGTGTAACATCAGTTTGTTGTTGTCGTCTTAATGGTTTGGAGACCGTCTGTTCAGAGATGCACAGCTGATGGTTTCTGTGCCTTACACAATGCAACAGACCCAGAACAGAAAATATGAATAAATGAGATGATTTGAATCATTCAGATCTCCGGTGCTCAGCTGTTTTCCTGCTGTAGGGCTGTTGTCAGGCTGGTTTTGTGCGTTCCTGTGTCGTGAACCAAGCAAACCGGTATTTAAAGCCCGGCACACCCTCTCTGTAACCTCTGCTGTCATCCGTGTGAACAAGATACAGTTTATAGCACCAAACCCTCCCTGTAGGCATCAGTGTTGGTCTGCTGTGCACGTGTTGTCCATGCCCGCCCCTCCACCCTCCATATATTGTACAAACCTCCCCCCCCCCCCTTCCTCCCTCACACACATTTTTCTGCCACCAAGCAGATTTACTCTCACAGCGTTCTGCTTGTTGGGCGAGCTCAGGGGAGGTCCCAACCAAACACCTTCACGATGTCTGCTTTACTTACTTGGAAGGCATGTTTGGGGGGGTGAGGGGGTGGAGCTGTTCATCCAGCTGTCGTCCCACCCCCCCACCCCCCCAGGTCTCTGCTGCTTCACACCAGCTGCAGCCAGACAACGGGAGACTAGTTGACACTCGACTACAAAAACAAAAGGCCCTATGTACTCAGCCTTTACTTAAGTCTGTACAGAGACTCTGATGTGGACGGTGGCTCAGGGCTTGGTGCAGCCACACTCTGGTTCAGACTGAAATGTCTTGTCCAAAGAATATGAGCTGGCGTCAGATGACTGTATTCAGTTTCTATTGTTGTTCAGGGATGAGCTCTCGAGGGAACAACCTCTCTTCATTCAAGCTCAAGTTTAGGTGTGCAGCCCAGCAACCATAGTTTCAGTTTGCTTTCTTTATGTTAATAAAACACTCCTGGTTGTAACTTTGCTCTTAAATATGTAAAAGTGTGGTAATTGCTCCGGAGCTAACAGTGAACACCCAGAGTTTGACTTCTGAAGCAATATTCAGCAGATGGACAGAAAAGTTAGCGATGATTTGATCACTTCAAAGTAATGTTCTGTGTAAAAGTTCTGAATAAATATCTTACCTGTTGTAGATACTTTAGCTCTTTGAATGGTCACAGCTGGGATAAATGTGGTTTGAGGTGACAGGATGGGTGAGCTAACAGCTCAAATAGCCAAGACCAAGACAGATTGCTGTTTTAAAACAGCAGCTTGTGCAAATGATTTTCCATGAACTTTAAACCATAATACTTTTAATTAAAGGATATTTAATTAGAATTATGTGGCTAGTTTTGAACAACAATAGCAGCAGCTAGCTATAGCACTTTGGGTGCAGATGGAAATAATTTCATATCATTTCTGTGAAAATATTTGTGTAATGTAAAGTTGATGGAGATGTAAAAGTTGAAATACTATTAGCGTTTGTAGGAACCGCTATGAAGCTATAAAGAATAAGAGGGTTTGTTTGTGTTACAGCTATCACAGTCTTCAAAATTTCCCAAAGATTAATTCCAAAGCTGCTGCTTAAAGTTTCATATGCAGATATTTCTGCAAAAATATCAATTTCCTGCCAGAAGTGACCCAAGTAGCACTGGAGGTGTTGCCCTCTCCGCTACTATTTGCAACACACAGAATTTTATGACAATAACAATATCGTGCAAAACTGATGCGGTTGTAAAAGTCATGAATTGTGCTCGTATGAGCTGTTTTGTAGAGTGGAGTCATTTCAGGACGGCAGAAATCCACTTCAGCCTTGGCTGTGTTTGGATTAGCTCTTTGCACATTAGTCCTTTCAGAATAAAACTATTTCAAAATAAGGTCATTCAAAGAGCCATTTAAATGGTAAATGGACTGTACTTATACAGCACCTTTCTATCTGATCAAGATACTCAAAGCTCTTTACACTACAATCTGTGTCCTCATTTACCCGTTCATACAGCACTCTACTAGATCTCTACAAAGCTAATTGAACAAATCATTCTAAAGAGACTAATCAGAGCTTTATCACATTCATACACTGATGGGACACACATCAGAGGCTATAAGGGGTTCAGTGTCTTGCCCAGGGACACTTCGGCATGTGATTGCTGGTGGATTCGAACCCCCAACTCTTGTATTGGAGGACGACTGCTCTAACCACTCAGCCACAGCCGCCCCATTTAGAATAAGTAAGATATTTATTATTTTACCTTTTACATAGAACCCCACTCCAAACTGGCCAAAATACTTTAATTTAAAAGTGTGCTCATGTTTACTGTCTGTAAAAGAGGAGGTCTTTTTTTAAAGGATAATAATATTTTCTTAACAGATCAGCAGATTCATCAATATCTATTGACTGCTGTTGAAAGGCTGTGTGTGTTTGTCTTTGTCTGTTAGCAAAATATCTCATGAATCACAAGGCAGTTTTTAATAGTTCGGTAGTCCCTCGCTACTTTGCGGTTCTGGTGGGGAGTAACAAGTGATGACTGAGTGTGATTACAGCCTGGCACATGTCATGACAAAGTTTACTGAACTTGAACTGAACTTCGACTACTGTATCCCTACTACGTTGTTTTTCACTTATCGCGGGTGGGCGTGGTCCCTAACATCCGCAATAAATGAGCGACTACCGTACTGGATGTACATCTACAACTGATAATGTTTTGTAATCAGTACATTTCAATATGGCCCCATGCACAGCTTAATAACTTTAGCAAGCATAAAAATGACTATAACTCAGTCATCAAAGTTCAATCATCCAGGTACAAAATCCAATAATGGTCAGTCAGGTCATCTGGACAGTTTCTTTTTTTTTTTTGGAAAGATGTTTTGCCCTCTATCCGGAGGGCTTCATCAGTCTGAGGAGTCCCAAGTAAACTTTCCCCACTAAGCAGTGCACTCCTTTAGTGGACCAACCAGTTTG